TAGCCTTTTCACCTCCTGGACAAATTAAAGCATAATGTTGGCTCATTAAAAACATTGATGAAAGCTATCAAAAATAAAAACAGCATGAATCCACAAGCTTAAAATATTGCACCTGGTAACAAGCTGTAGAAGCAGTTCTCATACATGGGAAGATCTTCCATCTGAGAGAACTAAAGGTTCAGTATTTGGCCATTCTAAAAATTGCTGGTGAGGATCATGGAAACACGCAGCGTATCCCAGGGATTTCATAAAACCTTGCAAACCTCAGTCAGATGACTGTGCTTGCAAGGATTGGGATTCAATAATGACTCACAGAAACATTAATGAATCCTGAAGTAACTTAGCAAATGTGCCAGGTATTAGCAGGCATATTCGTTTCGTGCTAACTGACCAATTACACTGTAATTAGCCGTGACAATAAGGCTAGAAAGTCTCCCTACTGCATAGCAAGACCAGCTAAAGGGCACTAGAGGCATAAACAGTGAGGAGGTCTGCCTTGCTCAGTGATTCTCGTACTTGCAAAGCCTTTGTGATGAACTGAAACCAAATATGCGTTATCACAATTGAGCCAGTAAAACAAAAAGCAAGATATATTTGATGTGCAAAGTGCAGTAAGCCAAATCAAGCAATCGGAAATGATCTCTAAACTGACCTGACAACATTAAACTAAACTCACAGTGGTCGAAATACACTGTATGTTAGACAACACACAGTCATATATTAAATTCCGAACAATACCAAGAACTTACTTGACAGAACTGCTTTATTGATGGACTAATTGATGGAAGTCTTTGAAACTGGAAAAAAAAATATCTGTAATCGACCAGCAAATATTTATCTTTTCCCTCATACAAGTGAAAGGTCTCCTCACCAAACATCTCTCACAATAGGCATCAACTTAGTAAGGGGGAAAATCGTGGTAGATTCCACACTCCACATAAGGATTGGCATTACTCACTGCCTGGCATTCTTGGTGTAAGGTCTACCCCCGTATGATTGCCCTTACTGAATTTTGCACTTGGCCATTGCTCTTTGCACTGCCTTGCTGTTTAAGACTGGGTGTATTCCAAAAGTATTTGTTTTCTCTCAAAAAATACTTGCTTAGCAAAACTATTATTTCAGCTACTCTGATGACTGCCACTTATATTCAAAAAATGTAATGGTCTCAGATTTACTGCAAGGTGAACAAAGAATTGTAGGACCAGTTGAACAGATTTTAGATGCTCAAAAACAACTGTGTAATCAATTTATACTAAAACACAATAAAATAATAATGATGTGTAAACCTTTGTTTCAGTGGGTGTAATATGCCCCATCTAAGGTCTGTGTCACTACTCTAAGCCTAAAAAATGTCAACCAATTTATCAATTTTCACTTACTGACCCTGCATTATCCCAGAAACCTAGAAACCTTGGCTACACCAAGTAGGCTTTTAACATCATCCTTTAGTGACCTGCAGTTCATGAAGATTCTTCACATAAAAGGACTTAGCTTAGTCTGCCTTGTGCATCTAGCACGTTGTCATGTCATCATCCATATCCAAACTAACCCTGTCCCATTATGCTTGGACCCTGCTCTTAAAGGACGTTGCACTTATCAAACTGCAAATACAATTACCCTTCATTAAGCTGACGACCTCAGCAGCAAAATATATTTGTCTAGGATAGTGGGGGATGAAAAAAAAGGAGTACAGAAGTCTTGTGTAAACAACCGAACAATACAGCTTTATCTTATCTCGAGAACGTATTGCTGCTTGTCTGTAGCTGTGTGCTTTACTGCCAAAATAAAATAAATTGAATCAGCTCACACATGATAGCATGTTCTTTCCTAAGTCATACTAATTGCTTGGCTAATTGATGTTTGTTGAACTTTCTCCATTTCATTGAGTGATTAGGTACAAAGCTAACAGTTGACATCTGTAGGCGCTTAACTGGCGTCTGTAATTACTGTTAATGTTAAATAATTGTTAGTTAATTGGAATGGTAACTGGCTGAATGGAATCCAGATTGTGAAGCAACAAAAAAAGAAATCCTATTTTAAATAAACATACATTTTCAAGAAAAACATTTTAACACGGTTGTGAAAAGCCACCAATGGCCTTCAAACTTGCGGGGTTGCTTTGCTTTGACAAGCATCCACATAAACCATGGACAAGCTCAAGGTGTACTTATATGTCACTTAGTATTAGTGTGCATCATCATCTAATGACCTGTAAATCTAATTAACCGCTTCTATAATAGCAGACTTTCCTATTTTGGGTCCTGTCAAAAGCTAAACACAAATATCTTTATATATTTGGTATATATATATTTTTGGTAAGTGCCAGTTCCTCAAAAGTTCACCAAAAGCCGGTAACACCAGAAAATTTGATCTAGAAGATCAAAAAGCAAAATTTCAAGTTGATCTGCTAAACACAGAGATTGTCTTGGTTTTTAGAGGACTATATCACACACTAGCATTGCTACAGAATATTCATTACTTTTATCATTGTACCATAGTTTTGCTAAAAACATTAGAGGTCTTGTCACAGCAAGATACAATCGATTTAGTATTGCAACACTATCCATATATACAGGTATCATTGCTTCCTTAACCAAGCAAGAAATAATATCATCCAAAACATCTCATACACAATTTTATACAAAGTATACTAATTATTTCTTTCCTCCATCTGTTTATATCCACTTTACTAGATTGCAGAGAAGTCAGTCTATCTTTACAACAACTGTATGAAAAAAGACCCATAAAAGATCTTGAATCAAAGCCAAGACAGGAAAACATAAAAGGAAGAAAATAGTTGTGTCGCACAACTGTCTCCCGTCAATGCAATACAGTGTTTCTATTTCAATCCACCCCCAAAGCTTGTGCGCAGGAGGCCAAGTATATTTAACACATGTCAGCGCTGTAGATATCTATGCTGCACGGATTGCTTTAAGGACAACACGAAAGAGTTAGAAAATGCTGATACAGCAATTAACTAGTCTTCAGATTCCCTAGGATTAAAGAGTGTTAAACTGCTAATCTAGGAAATCTCACTAATCATACATAATGTATTGTTCTAATTGGATATCGATGTCTAAATCCCATTTACAAACCTTGTACATTCAGAATGCCGTGTGAATTGCGCCTTTTTAGAATACAGATATGGTTCAGAGAGGAGAAAAATGACCTTCCTTTCAGCGTGCTCTTTGCTCTTGGCAAGTAATATGACATAATGCGAAAAAAAACCACGACTTTTAAAAGCAGGCAAACCTGCTTTGTTTAAGAGCTTAAACATGATGTTCATCAATCTGACAGCTTCTTGACAGCATTGTCAACTACCTATCTACCAAATCACTGAACAAACTGCAGCCAAAACCTCCCTCTCTCACACAAGCATTACACACTAGAGTACTTGCACCTGTTTTTTAGCTCGAATTGACACTATAACATAGCAAAGGATCTCCTTTCAAGTTGTTTTAGATTTGATGTTTACAGAGCTAATCCCATGAAAAACTACCCTTAGGCACTTTCTACTCTAATTTTAATTTTTCTCCTCAAGCCTAAAAATAAATATAAATGCTAGTAAGCCTAATTTTCACTGATTTTTTTTTTTCTGGCACCTGGACCATGTATGCAGTACTAGCTCCTTTCACAGTACCAGCAAGAATTAGCATATGGCAAGAAAGAGAGGACTCGTGAACAGAGAAGAATGGGCCCATTTTAATGGAAATAGAGGCCAAAAGAATAATCTACCATCCACTAAAAAGCTTATTTGTGTATGGATTCCCAAGCAAAGCCTAGAAGAGATGATGTTGATTTAAGAATACACAAAGAAGCTTTAATCCTTTCAAGGGAACTAAATCACAACAGAGAAGAGCCTCACAAGAAAGTCTTGCTGTCAAGGATGCTTATTCAAAACCAAATAGATGCCACAAATCAAACCCTGTAAGTAAACACAAATAGAAATATGGGAAATAGGTTTGACAGAAGAAAAAGAAAACTGAGGGAAGAGAACAAGGGATCCTCTTCATCAATCACGCCTCATTCTTGGTGAAGTGGGCCCTTCACCCCAGAAACAAACCATCAGGTAGGAATGTTGATTGACCAGACTGCCTTCCTTTCTCCTAGCTAAAGCATAACAACCGCCTCAGCAAAACCACAAATATCTTAGTTAATTAAAAAAATTAGATTTGATATATAAATTCCAATACTTTTTTTTATTTTTGTGCCATTTGCATTTCTGATTTTTCTGTTTTTCTTTTTTGAGCTCTTTTTTATTTATATATTTTTATCTACGTGTAAATATTTGCAAGTAAAACAGTATAACTAACACAATACATTTTACACTGACTTGGTTTACAACATTGTTTAAGACCCCTTTTTTGGCATTAGTTAGTTGCAGGATCACGGTTGACAGTATTCGTTTCCATCACATACACCATTTGATCATGAATATTTTTGATTACGCCACATAAAGAATGAAAATAAAGATTTTGCCTCACCAGCAAACAGCTTAGTGCAAATTAAAGAAGCTCTTAAGACAAATTGCATTAACAACAGCACTTTAGGTTGGTAAAATAGGTAGCCATATACTGCACAACATATATAACATCATCTGCCACCTAATGAATACAAAAACAATGTGTACTATATTAAGTTAATAACAATCTGTTTAGCAGTACTTTATAAATCAATTTTCTTTTTTAAACACAGATCCCATAAAAAAACAAAAACTTTCATAGACATATAATTTTTTCTCAGCTGTATCCCTAATAGCAAACATGTTATGGCAATTAAATTACTTGCTGGTCAAAATATGTAGTTCTAACATAATTAAGAAGAGTTTAATCATTTCAGGCCTATATATTCTATGTATAAATGTATTCAGCACATTTTTATACAATTTAGACTATCCATGTGAACGTCAAAGGAATTATGACTAAAAGAAAGAGACCACTATTTCCATAGATGACGCATATAATAATTCAGAAAACAATTATAATTAATTATGAACTTACCATTTTTTGGGATGGTGCTGAAGAATTTTTCTGAACTGGCATCCGAAACCTAAAACATAACAAAAAAGGCATTTTACCATTTCCTGCCATGACTACTTGCATTTTGCATATACATAATTAATGTTTTACGTTTACATGTTTATGGGAGATTTTCTCATGACCTACATAATTTCCTTATAAATATTTTTCCAATTTTTTTTACATATTTTCAGATGCAAAAAAAATTATTTTTGTTGTACAACAGAGACTAAAGCTGCAGTGGCAAGTACATTTCCACACGGTGGTGCTATTTAGCTGTGCATTTCACAAAACGGCTTTCACCTGAAAAAGGGTTTTACGCACACCAAATGATGTTGTTTCCAGGCCCATGCACTTTCTTGATGTGCTGTGTTACCAAATGTGATACAGCTGAAGTGGTGCAGCGGTGTTGTGGTTTCATAGACACATTATTTTTAATTACTCTGTCTCTCTTGGCTCAGCACATTTCTGTAACTCTGGGATGTTTCTTAACCCACAGCAGTTATGCCAGAATTGTTATTGCATTTGGGAGCTCGTACAAAAATTGAAATTCTCAAACTATCGTGCTTATTTTAACAAGACAGTGAAGAGAGCAAAGATGTTACACAAAAAGCACTGATCAATTGTAACTAATCAAATTTCTTCTGTCATTATTTTATAGCAAAGAACATTTAGACAAAATAAAATCTAATTGGCTGCTATAGGTTAATGCAGAATGCCCAGTGCTCTTAACTAAAAGCCTGGAATATGTTTTCAAAAAACTATCATGTAACACTGACAATTATGCATATAGGCCATACAAATTGTAGTTTTATCTGAAAACAATCATTGTTAAAATATTACAGTTAAATATTACTGTTAAACTATCATACAATAAGAAATCATCCTATATTTTAAATTATGTATTCTTTATTTTACTTTGATGGTGGCCTTTAATTATTTCATTTATTACAAAATAAAATTGTTTTCTTTCAGTTATGCTATTATTTGTAGCGTGCTATCATTTGTCTACATGCAAGTTATTTTTTTAAGACCGCACCATCGAAAGATGGAGAATTTGTTAAAAAAAGCGGGGAAAAAAAGAAGATCTTTTACACCTCCATATGATGATTGACTTCATCAGCAGCATTGATTTGCTGTGATCTGTTGGAGGTCAAGGGTCATTGACTTGACTTGACCACAAACTAAGCAGCTCTAGACAGCTGAAGAGGTGATGAAAACCTACAGCCCTGCAAACCAGTGTAAACCTGTGTATAATACAACTCCTGACTTTTTTCCTGAGAATCATCCCACAAAATTTACAAACCACTTGTATCACTAATACTAGAGATGCTAATTTAGCCAATGCCCATTAGATCACTACGAAAAAAAGAGAAGACAAAATTCCAGTTGCGTGCTATGCAGTGCAATATAAAGCATTCCATTTTGTATTTAATATGTGTAAAAAATATGGCAAAATATGATCAAAATGAGGCAAACATTATTCTGTATCAATATTAACCCTAACCTATATTGAAGAAAACATAGGTAGGTGTTAAAAAAAATATGTAATAGAATTAAAACCTAGAACACTTACCGCTCAAACAGAAGCGGTTTTGTGCTCAATATAGTAACATTATTTATTTTTTCGACGGGACAGACAAATATTTGGATATTTAAATCTGTGTATACAACTTTCTTTGTCAGGTTCAAAACAATTATATCATATTTAATAATAATGGCATAGAAGAAGAACGTATTCCCACACATATTAACTATTTGTAACAACAGCACCACATTTTAATGGGACCTCTTTTCCTTTTCATGTAACTGTAAAAAGTAAAAAAAAAACATGATTTTTAAACAAATAATGGATCAACTTGGTTGTGCTACTAAGACCAAATATATTGTATGAACTGCTTTAATGTAGACCAATTTTCAAACAAAGAGAATAATACGAAACCAGACAATATGCTTATTTAAATGAGAAGAAATGTATTATAAATAATTATCTAGGAAGAGCCCAGAAGAAATAAAAGGTATTTATGCCACGCTCACCAGAAATGTATATACTATTTTATTGAATTAACACTTTTTGCTTGCATGGGATTATTATTATTAGATCTCTTTACCTTTCATATACACCTTGGAAGCTAAACTCCAAACAAAGTAATGCTCATGTTTTTACAATCCTTAATTTAGACTACATAAACAATGGTTATATTTATACCTTAAGCGCGCTCTATAAGTGATTACATTTCACAAAAATAACAAAACATAGACGGTATATCTATTAAGGAATAACTTTGCACAGTCTCAAGATCTGGTACAGTCAGTAAAAAATATCCTGTTCACTGTGCCATACTGCGTCGGCATGGAATATTTAGATAGTGACTGATTAAATACTTGCCAGGAAAATTACTATCAATGGTATCCATAAGATGCCTAATAATAAATCTATACATCTATAATTTAAGTGCTTTCAAAAGGACAGCAATAGCCCACATCAGTCTTAGTTTCCACTGGAACAATTGACGTTAAAAATATTCTATTCATTTGGCTATTTAAGGACATTATAATTTTATATCAAGGCATCAGCTCTCTCCCTCTTCTTTCACTCTGAGGCCCATGCCTATTCAAATCACAGTTGTTGAACTGATTGTGACTATTCTCTCGCTGTCAGTTGATATTAATGACTACACTGACAATCACAAATTCATAGAGCCAAAATTAGACTCCTTAACGCAATCAGGGAATAAGGTAACCTCATTCCATTCAGCATTATTCTTCCAGAACTTTTCATCAAAGCCATAATAAGGAGTTTTCCGTCAGAAAAAAGGGGCTACTTTACGCTGATAAATAGAGGATGCTTTCAGCACTGGTGTTGGAACTTCAGATAAATTAACCAATGCAGACCGGTTTGACCATTCTCTGGATCAGTAGAAGCATTCCTTATAACAATGTATTGATTTTGAAAAATTTGAAGCTCATTATGACCTTCTATGACCCACCAGCTATTATGCATTGGATATAAGCAATGCAAAGATTTGTGGATGTAGAGTGTTCAGAGTACAAACCTTAATGTCAATCACATCTCTGATCAGCATTTGGGATTTTTAGACTAGTATTTTGCTTTGAAATTAGTTCACATTCTGTCGTCAAGTGTTACACATAGAATTGTGTTTGCTGTAAAAGTAGTATGTTAGTTATTTGGATTTAGTAGGAGTTGAACATCCTTTGTTTATTTCTGCCTAGCATGCATTGTTTATTGTTGGCATATAAAGCCAGTTTTTGTTGTTGTTGCACAGTACTGTCACAGGCGAACTAGTGCATGATGAGAGACCTTGCGCTGCAGAAGGTAGATAAAAATAGCCAGCTGAGGGTAGAGGAGTGGGAGATGCTAAGAAGGGCAGTCAGGGATAGTGAGGGCAGCTGCCTCTCTGCTTAGCTACATTCTGCCTTCCCTGCCCAGTTGGGACCCAGATCAAAGCAATCTTTCTAACATATTGTTTTCCGGGAAGTACAGCACAATGAAATACACAAAAGGACGTGGCAGGCAAACACAAATACAGGGGGGAAAAAAATCAAACACAAGCGCACAAATTCACTGTGGCAGCTTTGCACAAACCTCATAAAGTAGCTCTATGTAATATGTATTAAACTTTATTTATTTTTTATTTTTATACAAGCAATGACATTTTGATCACTCATACTTCAATATCATACACCCTTTTCATCACTCAGATCAGCCATTCTCAATCAGGGTTCCATGGAACCTTAGAGTTCCTCTAGAGGTTATTAGGGGTTCCTTGAGCTGTGGATGATTGACCTTTTCTCCAACCGCTAATGTAAGAGGCATTCTTTCCTGACCACCAACATAAGGGGGTGATTCTACCCGGACCAACAGTGTAAAGAGGTAATTATTCCATGACCACCATTGTAATGGGGCCAGTGTTCCCTAAACATCAAGGTAAGGGGCATTCTTCTCTGGCCATCAGTGTGAGGGGGCATTCTTCCATGATCACCAGTGTAAGGGGGTATTCTTCCATGACCACCATTGTAAGGAAGCCAGTCTTCCCTAAACACTAATGTAAGAGGGCATTCTTGTTTCAACCCATTGTAAGTAGGAGAGTCTTCCCTGACTACCAATGTAAGAGCCCATTCTTTTCTAACCACCAATGTAAGGGGGACACACTTTTCTAGCCACCAATGTATGGGGGCAATTTTCTCTAACCACCGGTGTATGGGCAACACTATTCCTTGACCACCAACGTAAGAGGGACAGTCTTCCCTGACCACCAATGTAATGAGGGTATTCTTCCAATACCACCATTGTAGGGGGGCATTCTTCCTTCACCACCAATGTAAGGGGGGCTTTCTTCCGCCACTACCAATGTAAGGGGGGCATTCTTCCGTCACCACCAATGTAAAGGGGTCAGTCTTCTTTCGCCATGAATGTAAGGGGGCAATCTTCCTTCACCATGTATGTAAGGGGGCAGTCTTCCTTCACCACCAATGTAAAGGGGTCATTCTTAGCACAGACCACTATTGTAAGGAACCTTCTTCCCACTGACCGATAAGTGAATTTTAGCAGGGGTTCCCTGAGCTCTACAAATTATTTTATCAGGGGTTCCCTGAGCCCTACAAATCATTTTAGCAGGGGTTCCTCTCTGAGGTAAAAAGGTTGAGAGAAGCTGATCTAGACAAAGCCCTCACAGCTGCTGTGCTAAGCATGAAGTGACCAGCATATGTCATCCATCAACATCTGTCCCCGTGTTGGGGGTCCTGACAGCACCTAGAAAGCCACGCCGTGCACACAATGACATCCAGCGCAGGTCCCACCAAGAGGTAAACAATAACAAACCAAAGACAATCGGAAATAAACAAAAGCCCCAAGGTCAGAGGAGCGATCGTCGGCGGAATAAAGAGGACAAGGAAGTGTGTGGTGGGGGGGTTCGAATCGTACCTGCTTTTTTCTTTTTCTCCGCTTTCACGATGCCACAAATCCAAATGGCAGCTTCAGATGTCCTCTCCACATACAACAATACAGTA